GGCTTCTGATATCTGTGATGGGGACAGCAATGTCATGTTTGGTATAAGAGGTGAAATGGAATGGGCGGCAGGAAAAATTGCGCGTTTGTTTCGGTATGAACAAGAGCGCCCAGCATCACACTTTGAACAGGTTTTCCTGCTTGTCCAAGAATATGCCCCCCTGGACCAAGACGATGCTCGATTAGACCCTTACCAAAAATTCTCTATTGCGGGAGGAAGACTGTTTTATGACAGGTTCAAGAGCCAACTCAGATTGCTTACCACTGCGGAGATCACATGTCATTTCGCCTCGTTACCCAGGTTGCTTTCGGGTACATCGATTCCATGCGTGCATGTACTGCCGCTGGACAAGGTGGGCTAACTAGCATTCATGTTGCATATTTGCTACAACTGACACTGAATAATGCAGTGGTAGGGACTGATGATGTAAGACATGAAAAGGTGCTTGGATAGACTTTGAGAAGAGAGGGTATGCTTTGGGGAGAATGTGAGTACAGCAGTGCCAGGAGCTGTGTGTCAGTCAAACCCGTTCACGCTGGCGAGTTTAATTTGCAACAGATTAGTATTAGTACTACTTCCGTGATCATCGTTCTTGGGCTCAGACAAGTCCTATCCAATGAACCCCTCATAGTAACTCTTTGTGAAGTCTGATCTGGACGTTGAGATCCTGATTATAATGTGCATGTCAATCGTCTCATATTATCTTGCCCAGATTCATCATTCTGGGCTCGGAGTCACTGCAAGCTTTTCAAACATATGTGCATAGCAATCGCAGAACTTGAACGAACTCGTTGAGTAATGCTGCTGCTGCGATACCATAACTTAATCTGAACGTCAAATTTACCAAAACAGAGAACAATGAGATTATCTACATATGATGCATCACCCTCACTGGAAACTAACAATTTGCGTGTCCCAGCGCTGAAGATGGATTCCAGCATAGAAGTATAATTTGAGACAGGCAACTTTGAAGGGGACAAATTGTCAAACGGCACATATGCATGGTAATGTCAGACCTACGGAAATGGTCGAAATCACAAACACAACTGATTGCAATGTTGATGCTAGGCCACCTGGTTATCACTCTTCGTTGCGTGCTTCTCAATACTGAGTACCTTGCATTCTGATCATCAACAAGGTGAACAAGGTGAACAAACACATTAGCAAATGGGCAAGAGGGTCAACAACTGGATAAACGTACAAAACAGGAGAGAAGAATTAGGCAGCACAATGTCATGGGGTCAGTTGCCGTATCCTAATGCAGGTGGAATCTTGACTAAACACTCTCCGTTCACCTTCATACCCACAATTCCCTGGTCAATTGCTGTGAGGCCTGCATGAGTCACATAGAGTTGGAACAGATGTGCTAAGAACACACCGGGAAGCAGCCGGTCATCATCTAACACAAGCTTGAACTGCAACCATGCAGATGAGGCACAAGCATGCAACATATGAAAGTGAACACACTGATGTGCCCTGCATACAGGAGTCGACAACAACCCCGTCTGACAATTGCAGCTGATACCAGAGTTGGATACTATCTCCCATAGTCACAGTAGATGGGCCACCACTGATCGTGTAATCCTTGAAGGCCAGATGCTCGAGGGCCGATGGGCCGACATGGTCGTGGTGAGCTTGTAGAGGAGTCGTAATGACGTCAGGATATGGACGACGAGGACCTGCAACGGTGAACGAGGACGGCAAAGGAGAAGCGATGACCGATTGTTCCGGGTCCATACTCTCGATGACCTCAGAATTTGGACGATGAGGACCGACGATGGTGAACGAAGACATCCAAGGAGACACGATGACTGATTGTTCCAATTCCATATTCTCGCTAGGAGGCGTCATGACCTCGGGACCCAGAC